GTTACATAAAAATAGTTTGTAAGATTTTCTAACAGCATATATGCAAAGTATTTTGATTTATTTGAAAATAATTGAAAATAGATTTTTCAAGGACGGTGTCGAGGTCACGGGGTCGGTGTCGTTTTTCGAAATTTGTTTACTTAATATAATAGAAGATGTTTCGTTTTAAATTAAGAAATGTTAAAATTATTAAGTTAAAAACATTTGCTTTTAATGACACTTTAAATTAGACACAATATTATAGGTTACTAACTAAAAATTGAAAAAACAACAATAAATAATAAAAAATAATAATAAAAAATTGAAAAAATCAAAACATTCTTAAAAAATTGCAAAATAACCCTTTTTCGGGTTAAAATTGTAAAATAACCCTTTTTCGGGTTACAATTAAAAAATTACCCTTTTTCGGGTTAAAATTAAAAAATTACTCTTTTTCGGGTTAAAATTGAAAAAAAATGTTACATAAAAACAGTTTGTAAGATTTTCTAACAGCATATATGCAAAGTATTTTGATTTATTTGAAAATAATGGAAAATAGATTTTTCAATGACGGTGTCGAGGTCACGGGGTCGGTGTCGTTTTTCGAAATTTGTTAACTTAATATAATAGAAGATGTTTCGTTTTAAATTAAGAAATGTTAAAATTATTAAGTTAAAAACATTTGATTTTAATGACACTTAAAATTAGACACAATATTATAGGTTACTAACTAAAAATTGAAAAAACAACAATAAATAATAAAAGAGGATAGGACATTTATCCAATTTTGTTTTGAACAAATAGTAACGAAATTTGGTTTTGAACAAATAGTAATAAAATTTGAATTGAACAAAGTATAATAATTTATATCAAATAATATACTTTGTTTTGAACATAATTAAAATTTTTTTTATTTAATTTCCTTTTCACAAGGCCATATGGAACTTTGTATTTTCAAGCATCAGGTGCCTTTTTGTCACCATCTATGGGAATAATTTGTCTGAAATAAAAAATTAGTCCTTTTCAACGGTTTATGGAGGTCCAATCGCCATCCTGACCCACAAGTAAATGCACCAGGTGTATTTTCGACCCCGTCGATGGGTTCTTTTTTCTAGAATAAAAAAATGAACTGGTTCAACAACTTTGGCGGTCAAGTCGTCAACCTGACCGCAAAGTTATTGCACCAGGTGCATTTTCGACCCCGTCGATGGGTTCTTTTTTCTAGAATAAAAAAATGAACTGGTTCAACAACTTTGGCGGTCAAGTCGTCAACCTGACCGCAAAGTTATTGCACCAGGTGTATTTTCGACCCCGTCGATGGGTTCTTTTTTCTAGAATAAAAAAATGAACTGGTTCAACAACTTTGGCGGTCAAGTCGTCAACCTGACCGCAAAGTTATTGCACCAGGTGCATTTTCGACCCCGTCGATGGGTTCTTTTTTCTAGAATAAAAAAATGAACTGGTTCAACAACTTTGGCGGTCAAGTCGTCAACCTGACCGCAAAGTTATTGCACCAGGTGCATTTTCGACCCCGTCGATGGGTTCTTTTTTCCTAGAATAAAAAAATGAACTGTTTCAACAACTTTGTCGGTCAAGTCGTCATCCTGACCGCAAAGTTATTGCACCAGGTGCATTTTCGACCCTGTCAATGGGTTTTTTTTCTAGAATAAAAAAATGAACTGGTTCAACAACTTTGGCGGTCAAGTCGTCAACCTGACCGCAAAGTTATTGCACCAGGTGCAATTTCGAAAGCGATCTGAGGAATTTTTTAAAATAAGAATTTTTTATCTTCTTATATAATGTTGATGGTCTGGTGGGCTTCCAAAATCCATAGTTGTTAGCTCCAAGGGTCCTTTTGTATAGGTAATTTTCTTTCTAGAATTATAAATTTACTAATTAATTGTGAATCTTTTGTTTATAGTTGAATTTGCATCTAACAGGGTGAATCGGTTATCAAAAGTGTTCGTGTTATTGCGTGTTTTTAAAACATTTTGCATTATTTTGTTTCAAGTTTGTATTATTAAATTATTGTGTTTCTATTTTGACCGCGTTAGTAAAAACGTATTATAAAAGAAGAGGAACAACTGCAGCTGCTCTATAGTTCCAGCTTTTGGACAGTTGCTGACGACGATTTAGGGTGAGTTTTGTAAACATTATATATTACTTTTAATTTTGTAACTATACCTTTAAATACTCTAATAATGCCCATTAATAATTATGATCTTGATTTCTTCACTGCAAGTGTAAATGCTGCAATTTCGGTTACATTTTTTCGAGATGATCAATACTCTATTTCTTATTTTTCTAATATCTCTATTGGGTTGATGCTCTGCTTCGTCCCATCCATATTGGACTCGAGAGACGAGATCAAAAAACGAGTTGCCATACCATGATAACCTGAAATATTGCAACATTAAGTTAGTTTCAATTATTAAGCACTGCTGGTTATATAAGATGCTAATAAAATTTAATTTTTCTTAATCTTTGTATTTGGAATTTCTATATAGGCGGATGAAAAGATAAACATTAATAGCCGCTAACTCAAAAGAAAACTTTTTGAGAACTCGGGTGCAATGGTTCTAGTTCTACAGTAAAATATGAACATACTTAAAACAATCCAGTGAACGCTTTTGGCAATGTCCCTTTTCTTGACGACGTCTATTGATGAGACTCACAATTTTTCTTTAACTATTCGCACTGTTTTCTTTTAGCAAACTGTATCTGCACAATCATTTGTGCATTGCAGTTTGCATTCAAGATGGTGAATGTGACTAAAGAAAATTGTTGGTCATTTTTTAATTTTTCTACATTGATTTTGGCAAAATTGAGCAACGGAAGAGATAGCTTTGTGTTGGGATCCTGAAATATTATCTTCGGTTACATTCTTTTTCGATGACTATGGAGAGACTAACAATTTTTGTTTCACTATTCGCACTGTTTTCATGCAGCAAACTGTATCTGGACAACCCTTTGTCCATTGCAGTCTGCAATCAAGAAGGCGAATACGACTGAATCAAATTGTTGTCATTTTTCAATTTTTTGGCTTGCTGAAAGTTTGGAGTTGGACTTGCAGCTTCAAATATATTTCTGTTGAATCTCTGGTACGGTCGAACCAGTCTCATTTTTTTGAATCCACGAAGCGGCAGAGACATCACTGTCTACTTCACATTGTTGTTGGGGAATTGGAGCAGAGGAAGATATTGCCTGGTACTGGAAATCTAAAATATTAAAAATAGAATAAATTTTAAGTACTAGGAATAATTAGTTTTGAGATGCAAAAAAATTTACATTTTCTTTAAATTTTTACCTGAAAATTTTCAACACGGGGATAAAACCAAGAATATTGATAATCTCCAAGTCGGAAGAAATATTTTTGAGAATTCAGCTGGTGTGTTTGAAATTACAAGGCAATTTCTAACATCAATCTACTGAGCTTTTGAGGCATTGTCCATGATTCGGTCCCTTTCCTGCACGACATTTACTGAAGAGACTAACAATTTTTGATTCACTATTCGCACTGTTTCTTGTAGCAAACTGTATCTGGATAACCCTTTGTCCATTGCAGTTTGCAATCAAGAATGCGAATACGACTGAATCAAATTGTTGGTCATTTTTTAATTTTTCTACTTGTTCAAATTTTGGAGTCGACCTAACAGCTGCTAGTTATACTACAGTGGGTGCTTTGCAGCAGTCTCATTTTCTTCGATTGTTTGGCGTGGTAGACAAAAATTGGTCGATTTCATATTGATTTTGGCAAAATGAAGCAAAGGAAGAAATGGCTTTGTATTGGGATCCTGAAATATTACAAATAAAATTAACATTCATTCCAAAGCAATTTTACTTTTATAAGATGTTGAAATATAAATTTAAAAAAAATTTTTTTACCTTAAATGTCTATACAACGGGAAAGTGGGAAGAAGATTGATAACCGCAAAATTGGAAACTAAATTTGGTTGAATTCTTTTGTCGTGGTTCAAATTCCAGTATAGTATATGGGCAATATCTATACAATCCGCTGAGCGCTTATGGTACTGTCCTAAAATCAGTTCCTTTCATGCGCAAGGTCTATTAAGAAGAGTAACAATCTTGGTTTCACTATTCGCACTGTTTTCTTGTAGCAAACTGAATTTGGATAATCATTTGTCCATTGCAGTCTGCATTCAAGGAGGCGAATACAATTGAAACAAATTGTTAATCATTTTTGAATTTTGGTGCCGAAGTTTCAGCTACAAATATTTTTCTGCGGGAGCTTTGATCTAAAATATTACAAATTAAAATTAGTTTTATCTGATAGGCATAATTAGTTTTATGAGATGAAAGAAGATTTAATTTCTTTTTATATTTTTACCTGAAATTTCTAAACGGTAAGATAGAACGAAGAAGATTGACTATCGCTAATTGGAAAGAAATGTTTTTGAAAATCCCCCTGACGTGGTTGAAATTCTAAGGTAGAATATAAACCAACTGTAAACAATCCGCTGTGCCTTCATGGTAATGTCCATGACTCGGTTTCTGACCTTTGCGGCATCTATTAAAGAGACCAACTGGCAGCTGCAAATATATTTCTGTGGAATCTTTGGAATGGTCAAAATAGTCTAGAATTTTCGAATCTGCGAAGCGGAAGGTTCAATCCTGTCATTTTCACATTCATCTATGTTGCAAAGGAAGTAATTGTGTTGCATTTAAAACCTAAAAAATTAAAAATTGTATTAAATTTCTATCATAGGCACTATCAATTTTATGAGATGTTACAAAAATTTAGTGTTTATTAATATTTTTACCTGAAATTTCTAAACAGTGGTATATTACGCAGGAAATTTATATTGGCCAAGTCAAAATAAATTTTTTTTTTTAGAATTCAGCAGACGTTGTATAAGCCTTGATAAGGTTTAACTCAAAGTAATCCAATAAACGCTTATCGCACTGTCCTAAATTCGGTTACAATCCTTTACGATGACTATTGGAGAGACTAACAATTTTTGTTTCACTATTCGCACTGTTTTCATGCAGCAAACTGTATCTGGACAACCGCGTGTCCATTGCAGTGTGCATGCAAGATGGCGAATATGACTGAAACAAATTGTTGTCATTTTTCAATTTTTTGGCTTGCTAAAAGTTTGGAGTTGGACTTGCAGCTTCAAATACATTTCTCTTGAATCTCTGGTGCGGTGGAACCAGTCTCATTTTTTCGAATCTATGAAGCGGCAGAGACATCACTGTCTACTTCACATTGTTGTTGGGAAAATGGAGCAGAGGAAGATATTGCCTGGTACTGGAAATCTAAAATATTATAAATAGAATAAATTTTAAGTACTAGGCATAATTAGTTTTGAGATGCAAAAAAATTTACATTTTCTTTAAATTGTTACCTGAATATTTTCAACACGGGGATAAAACCAAGAATATTGATAATCTCCAAGTCGGAAGAAATATTTTTGAGAATTCAGCTGGCGTGGTTAAAATTATAAGGTAATTTCGAACATCAATCTGCTGAGCTTTTGTGGCATTGTCCATGATTCGGTCCCTCTCCTGCACGACATTTATTGAAGAGACTAACAATTTTTGATTCACTATTCGCACTGCTTCTTGTAGCAAACTGTATCTGGACAACCCTTTGTCCATTGCAGTCTGCAATCAAGAAGGCGAATACGACTGAATCAAATTGTTACTTATTTTCCTATTTAATACTTGTTGAAATTCCGGAATCAGATTAGCATCTGCAAATACATATCTGCGAGAGCACTGGAAGGGTCGAAACAGTCAT